AAACAATGTTTATATTTCTCTAAAATGCAATTCTTACGACTCCATTACAATCTTATCACTCACCTTTGATGCTTGGCAAATCAACGTTTGTCAGTTCAACTTTGATTGCTTGCAGTATTTTCTGGTAGTGTGCATTCTTCATATTTCTGTTTTTGTAATGCTCACTTTTGGTATTCCAAATACTCTCTCTTTCTCTGACAGTATCGAGAAACCAACTCCCCACTTGATCGGACCAGTTTTTTTATTAATCGCCATGTTTTGTTTTATGTGAAGCCTGTGATCTACTTCGCTCCTTGATATGTGCCCGTTTTTATTTGACAGCCATCTACATGACACATTTTTTGTATGTGATAATTTTTATTTGTCACATAAAAGCTAGCATGCCAGCTTTTAAAAACAGGCAATTATTAAATAAAATTTGACAACTTTTTTGTCGTTTACACGGTCAAATTAACATTGTCAACTAAAAATTGTCAAAGTAAAATTGCTCGTGTAAACGGGCCATTAGACCATTGAGTTCTATAAGACCTCAATGATTAGACCACAATCGCTACCAGTTACTTACATGACGTCGGCGGATGTATGAAACACCGACTCGTTTCCAGAGCCCTTACGGGAAAACGTTGGGTGCAAAATCCAGACTTTGAAGGGGGATTAAAAAAAAGTTTTCTATCTATTTTTATTAATACGAATATGTGTTTTAAGACCTGGTCTTTCAAACAAGACCAAAATGCCATAAGGTTTATATGCACTTTAAATGCACTACGTGTAAACAATCTTTATAATGCGATATACAGTCTTTCTTTGGGCTTTTTCTGTGACCAGAGACGTAACTAGCCTACAAATTTGCTTATTCTATGTAAATTTTTCATCATTAACTTTATTCATTTATGTTGTACGTAAAGTGAGTGAACTTCAAAATATTTACGTAGCATGAACAAACTTGGGTGCTGGTTACGCCACTGTTCGTGACATTTTTTTTAACCGAGTTGTAGATCTTGCGTTAGCCAAAATAAATTATAACTGCTCCATTATGGATATAGTTACATTTAAAAAGGAGCTCCGTTGGTAGAATAATGGACGTTTATTGCCAAAAGCGTTATACAAAGATATTTAGAAAGGAAGCCAATGAGTTTGATGGACAATAAAAAGGAAAAGATATTTTTCTTGTGAAGAAAAATATCTTGTCCTTTTTATTGTCCTTTTTATTGTCCTTTTTATTGTCCCTTGAAAAATATCTTGTCCTCTTTTATTGCGAAGATCATATCTTCATTTAATTTTAAACACCGCACTGCATAAAACATTCATACGACATTCCTTTCACGAGAATACATGAGCCCAACAATATTGACCTGCTCACCACTGTGTGACTTCATAGCTCAGTTGGTCTGAGCACTGCACCGGCACCGTAGAGGTCATGGGTTCGAGTCACGTTGAGTCACCTGATTTTTTCAGGTCCTGATACGATTGCTTAAATTGTCCAGCAAAGTGCGAATATCATATCTTCATTTAATTTCAATTATCGCACTGCATAAAACATTCATACAATAAAAAGGAACTAAGACTAAAGGTACGTTTACATAAAATGATTTGTCGGGCCGACACTAACGCCATATTACGTGATTCTTGCCATATATGGAACATTTGTCGTGAAAGACAAATCGCTGTGTGTAAATAATGCATCTGATGTATTTACGCGATTTCAAAAAAGAAAACAAATATGTCGAAGAACAATAGCAAAGCGAAATTAAAAGTTGTCATTGTAGCAACGAAGGTAATGTACAATATTATTATTGCCTCAAAAAATAAAGAAAAGAAGAAAACAAATATAAAGATCGATATGAGTATAAAAGTGCAAATCAAGGTAAATTTGCCGTGTTTCTTTTTTTAAGAAAGTATTCTTAACTTTTTCCTTTTTCTGAATCTCTGCAGCTTTTTGCATTTCAATAAAAACAACGACGCTTTCAGCACTTTCTTCTTCCATGTTGAAAGAAAAGATTTTGATGATTTTTCAATAATCATAATTTGCTTGTTTCCGAAGCTATAGCAACATAGTAAAAATCGAAGAAAAACGCAGTTAGAAAAAGTACTTTTAGATTTTGAAGAAGATATTGATTCAAATACAACAACAATTCAGCAAGCATCTGTCTGTGCACTACAAAAGCAGATGATGAAATGAGAGCATGAAAGAAAATCAGAAAAATGGTGGATGAAAATAGGTACGGAGTATGGGGAGAATATAAAGAAAGTTTGCAGCATCCTCTTTCTTAGCACAAAAAGAGTACAATAGGCCATTGATAAAGAGGAAGTGATTTACGGAAAATTTGGAGGAAAAGGTCAAAAGCACTTAGGATGAGCCCAAATAGGAATTAAACTTCTTTGTTAAGAATATCATAAAAGCGTTTCTAATGGGTTACCCAAAAGTACATTTTTTCTAAGTCTTCCTCATATGTGTAGTTTCATTGGGAGCCAATATCAAGAAAATCTTCCACCATTGTACTTGATTGGAGGGTGAGAAACAGGTAAACTAGATGGGGTCAACCATGGAAAACCGTTCTTTCACAGAATGATACTTGAGTAAACCGAATAGAAACACGAGTAATTAACAACATGTGCAATTATAGATATTGTGAATCTGGGTGATAACAGAGATTGTTTGAAAAGAGATATTTGAAAGTAACTGTAAATAAAAGGAATTAAAAATGTTCCCCTAATTTCGGAGGCAGTTAGAACTTATTTGGGAAAGAATAGAGAAACTGAGCATTGATATAAAGCTTCACCAGTTGCAGAAAATAACGACTTCTTAAAAAGCAATGATTACGAGAGAAATGGAGATGTAGTTAAAATGAGCAATGCCGTCGAAGCTTACCTCCTGTAGGCCGGTAGATTTGAGTTTGTGGGAAAATACTAGCATTATCTATAATAATGATAAATCCCAGAGAAATAGTCATAGCAAAACTCCTATAATTTATAAATTTGTTTTGTGCGTTTGCTTTGTACGGTACATGAAATGAATAGGCTACTACATGTAAACTTTATGCGTTTCATAGTTCAAGCTATTGCAAACACCGTATATGCACACTTTTTAACTTAAATAAGTTTTTTTCCTTAAACCCCCTTCTCCATAACTATATTGTGCATTAATAATTAGCTCATCATTCTAGAAGAATCGCTTGTCCAAAGCTGAAGATGTGTGTAATAAAACAAAAGTTGCCAATTACTTATCACATGCTCAAAAACAAACATATTTGTTTACACGATGAGCTCATTCAATGTCGTAATCGGCAATATAAGACATATTTGATGCGATACTCCATATTGACTGTTGTCATCGTAAATGCACACATTTTAACCTAAATAAGGTTTGTTTTATGACGGGTGATCACCGCCAAAATTAAAACATGGCATTCGGCAATGCGAACATGACATTCGGCAATGCGAACATGGCATTCGGAAATGCGAACATGACATTCGGCAATGCGAACATGGCATTCGGTAATGCGAACATGGCATTTGGCAATGCGAACATGACATTCGGCAATGCGAACATGAGCCATATGAACACACGGTGATTATGTACAGCGGATATGCGTAACATGAGTAATGCGAACACAAAGTTCTTTGTGTCATCTGTAATGGAGAAAGAACGATAAGATGATACTTCATGTCCTGATTAAGAATAAAAATAAGTTGACGATAAAAATTGGAAACTTGGCTTCAAACGATATTGTAATACTTATTTTTCAGCTTTTCTGATTGTTTTAGTGTCATTTAATTGCTCTAATTTTGTTGAATTAAACATTTTTGAAAATTTATTTGGCTATGGACATCCGCAATGTCTGCCCACCCGGATGAATATGTTAATACAAATAGTTATAATTGGAAACTTGAAATCATTTTTATGAAATGGTAAGTTTGTATTTGTTAAATTAACATTTAAAAATAATACAATTGATTAATACCATATTTATGTAATGTTTCATCTTTTACAGTGTTTTGTTCGGACTAAAGTTTTATGTTTCTATTGAACAGGAAGATACTAGAAAGATAGTCATTAATCATTTACAACAGTCTATGCGGAAAATTGAGCACATCTTAGAAAACAATTCTGAAGAGCTCCCGGACTATGATTGCTTATCGTTTAGAGTTGATCATCTTCGACATGTTTTAATTTATTGTTCTGATACAATAAGTATACCTGCACAAGTTCATCAGTACTTACGCATAGTTTTTGAAATACTGAAATCATTTGAAGATGGTGACAATGGTGAATATGTTGCACCAACTGTGAAAACTGGTGGGCGTGGACGCCCAGCATACTATATCACAAAGGATCAACTTCATTTTTTGGTCTCATCAGGGTTCAATGTACCACAGATTGCGTCATTACTAAATGATGGAAAACGAACTATAGAAAGAAGGCTTCACGAGTTCAACATTTCTTTAAACACTACATTTTCCTTAATAAGTAATGATGATTTAGACGCTGTTCTTAGAGATATTGTAAATGAATTTCCAAATGTGGGTAGCAGACGACTTCAAGGTTTCCTAACAGCAAGAGGATATAACATCCAACAGCAGCGTGTTAGAGAAGCACTGCGAAGAGTAGATCCTGAAGGTGTTTTATTACGAGCTATCGAATTGAATGTCATTAAAAGGAGACCGTATAATGTGAAGTCTCCTTTATCACTGTGGCACATCGATGGTTATCACAAACTGATCAGGTAAGAAATTTTCTTCACTATTAGTTATTAACACTCATACATTTAAGTATGTGATACTTTTAATGGTTTCTTTTAGGTGGAGATTTGTGATTCATGGAGGCAGTGATGGATTTTCGAGAAAAATCGCTTACCTGGAATGCCATACAAATAATTATGCAAACACAGTTTTGAATGCGTTTCTTTCTGCTGTTCTTCATCATGGACTTCCTTCGCGCGTTAGATCTGATAAAGGAGAAGAGAATGTAGCTGTTGCGCAATATTTACTGGAACATCCTGAACGAGGAAGTGGAAGGGGGAGTATGATCACTGGCAAGAGTGTGCACAACCAGAGAATAGAACGTCTTTGGAGAGATCTCTTTTCTGGCTGTGTCCATATGTATTATAATTTGTTTTATAGCCTAGAAAAGTCTGGTATACTAAATCCTGATGATGACATCGATTTGTTTTGCTTACACTATGTATATTTGCCAAGAATAGCGCAGTCTCTCAAAACCTTTACAGAAGGATGGAATTTTCATCCGATAAGTACAGAAAGTAATCTTACTCCAAATCAGCTATGGATAAGTGGTCTTCTTCAAATAGCTAACAGTAGTAACAGAATTGCTCGAGATCTTTGGCAAACAGATGTACGTATTTTGTGATTATGATAAGCTGAATATTATGTTAGTACAATATTCTGTTTCACACATAACGAGCCAATTTTCGATTTAGGTTAGCATACCCCCTTTAGGCATATGTTACGCGTTTGACAATTTTTCTTGCACTAAGGGTGGGGAATTTGATCATGAAAAACGGAATGAGGCACGCCGGGAAGGATGTTACAGATACGTTAAATGGTGCATAAGGAACTATATAATTAGTGTTAACCACAGTAAACTTGCGTTTAACCTAGATCCGAAGCTGATTCCAGTTTGTTTACTCCTATGGAATAGAAAGCTTTACGTTTTTGTTGTATAGGAATTTTATGGAGTCGACTGGAATGGCCCAATGTCAAGTGACTCAGATAATGTCATAGTTGATGTTCCTCAAACAATGAACCCGTTATCTGATGTGGAGTTCAGTACTTTGAAGAATGTGGTTGATCCTCTTCATCCGAGTAGTACTCTTGGAACAGATGTCTTTATGCAGTGCAAGCAGTATGTTCATGACAGATCTTTTGCCAACTGACGTCAAACATTGCATGATGTTAACGGTCTCTATAACAAAACTATGAAGGGAAATACGCTATGCAACACAATTTGTTGTCGAGAAAAGTGTACTTTTTGTCGTTTTTTCCCATTTTTTTAAATACATATTTACGCTCTGCTCATTCTGCACTGTGAAACAGAATGAAAACAAACTTCCTTTAGATATCATGATGTTAAATGCGTGATGCAGAGTTTTTTGAAGAAGCAAAGAGTAATCTACGAACCAAAAATGATGTAATGTGTCATTTTTGTTAAATTTTTATGAAAAAAGGTTTAAGACCGGACACTTCAGGAATAAAAGTGCTTTCAATCGCCACTGAAGAAGAGGAAAAGATATGATTTGAGACTGATACAATATTCACATACAGCTCATTTGTAAATTCTTGGCAGTGTAGTTTTAAAACTATATTTGCTTTTTCACAGAATAATCTAATAGCTGTTATTACGTTGGACGGATATGCAATTTTTGCCTTTTGTTAACATTACATGGAAGACATGAAACTTTTAATGAAATCGTATCACTTGAGCAAAAAAATCAAAAATTTCAACCGTGAGAAAAAAAAGCAACGACGGTACCTAATATATAACTGGAACAACTAAAACCTTAGCAAAATTCTAACAAACAAAATGGTCAATTTGAACTACCTTGAACCAGCAAATGAGCACGATCCATGGCGCAAACTTGCAAACATGATATTATTAAACTTTTCATAATCTTCATATATAATCGGAAGTTTTAAATGATTGAAGCAGCTGTCGGAGTCAACCATAGTGAGATCTTCCTTGCCAAAGAGCACTTTTATTTTTGTTTTCAAACCAAGTGGGGGTACACTAAGGTTGGATGTGCAAAACTTAAGAAGAAGATTAAGAACAGGGATGTCACCACCTAGAACTGGAATTCGCTCTATAAGAAAAGTACGCAAGTTAATACAACAAAAGCGCATTTAACAAATCACTTTCGAGAATATAAATGTAGAGAAAATGTTTGATAAATTTCTATGTTATTTTTCTTACCAGTAAGACATTCTGACTCCTTCACAAAGCGAATCAAGTGTAAGTATGCTTGCCTTTCTTTGTCATCCTGTTGATTTGATATTAGGAATGATACAAATGTATCCGCTGTTAACTGTGAATTTGCTACTTCATTCACAAAAAACGGTCTCCAACCGTCAGGATTCTTTTGAAGAAATCGCAACAATCCAAAGTGGTCGAGTCCTTCACGAAATTTTTGAAGGGCAGGCAATCGCTTGTCAAAGAGCTCTTCGATAAGAATGCGACTGACAAATTCGAATCGGCATTTCATGTTGATTAAGGATTCCGTAGGCCATCCTGAGCGATCAATAATGGAAGAAAACCTTGCGCCGTCATACAGAACTGAAATCTCCTCATCATTTAAGCAACTCTCAATCTAAAAAATGCATAATGCTTACTCACTGTACCGTATGCTATCTCGTTTATATAATGCACACGCGATCGCACTGCTTTTTTGCGGTTGTTGGAACAGAGAGAAATTATGATATTAGACTTATCGCCATGCTTTTACAACAACGACGTATGAACAAAGAATATGGCAGACTTGATACGCCCTTCACACTGTTGTCCACAAAACACAAGTACATTCTCACCCAGCAACCTACCATTTTGATGAATTCGGTTAAATCAGAATTTTTTGGGGTATTAGGAAGATCTTCAGATGTTATCAATGCCACAGACTTTTCTTTGTCACCACTAACAATGAACTCGTATACATACTTGGCTAGAGTTGGCATACCCGGGCCTTCTTGCAGGATTGAATGTCCAATCATGAGCCCTGCCATTTGTAGCAAATATATCTTGTCCCAGCTGTGTATGGGAATGCGGTTTCCAGGTTTTCCTTCAAATAGCAAGTTATCGATAGTTCTGATTAAGTCACTAAAGAACTCAATCCTTATACCACCAACATCTATAGCATCTTCATACCCTTCAAAAGATATGCTTAAAAGACGAAATAAGTCTTCATGAGAAGTGGTCTTGTAAAAAACAAGCGATCGTTGCCAAATATACTCTCGGTCAAGCATCAAGATTTTCATGTTTTCTTTATCAACTTTTTTTGTGTAATTAAACAAGTCATGATCAATTGTTGTGTAATCTGATGCTGTTGACAATGTATCTGTATGAATAGAAAAGCATCAAAGTGGTTACGTAACTTGATATGGAAATGACAAATTTTTTTAACATAAACATGTTTCTTTTTTGACAGCAGTTAACATACTTAAAATTACTTTTTTTCAGCATGAATGAGCTAAATATTTACAGTTTTCAATATATATCAGGATATGTTATTCATATGAATTAATAATTTGTAAAAAGAGTGAAGTGTGAAAAAAGGCGTTTGACTAAGAGATATTTACATGGCATGCACTATGAGTATGATAAAAACAAATTAAAATAATTACAATGAGAAAATGGTGTAGAAATGTTGAATTTGTTTGCTGACGTCAGTTTGTAAAACTTTATCCTTTTACTAATTAATAATTCATATGTATCATATCCTAATAATCTTCATGATTCATAAACCTAACCAGTACTATTGAGATGATAGGGAAATATTATTATAATTATAAATATAATTATAATATTTATGTATAAAAAATGCTTATATTACAGCATTGCTATCAGTGAAGGACCAATAAAACCAACAAAATTGTCAGAATGGTCATACAGTACAATTTAACTATTGGACTATGTGGGAACAATTCATTATTAGCAATATTGCAACTGCGCATTTTCCTTAATAGTTCTTACAAATAATAAAATAGCAATAGATGCATACATTTGAGCAAAAATCTACATTTGCTACAATTCAACAGAGCAGACTTGAAAACCATTTAGTTTCTATTTAAACATCTAACCTTCATCATTTGAGCCCAGAAGTTTGGAAATTGCATCTTCATAGGAATAATTATTCGTTTTAAGAGTTTCAAATAGCTGTTTTTCTTCCACATTAGGAAACATTTCTTTTAACTGCTTTGTACCATCTGAGAAAAAGTAACAGATTCATGAATTTGCACAACAATATTGGTGAAAAAGTACTCTTCAACAGCTTGACAGTATAATATTTTGGAACATAACAATATTTAAAAAAAATGAAATGAAAGCAAAACTAACGTAACAAGGTATCATCACCATCCAACTTGTTTTCTTGTATATCAGGTTCATCTTTGATAATAACAAGTTCTTTTTCTTTAATGTTCATCCCACTAGCTCTAAGTTATACCATTAAATGGGAAATTAATCTTAGCATGGCAAGGGGCTGTGTGGCAACTGTTAAATTATACTTGATTTTAACAATTAAAGTTGTATTTTCTTGCATTGTATATTACTGAAATGATATTGAGTATGCCTAGTGGATATTTCATACTTTCTCATTTCTTGCTCCTCTTCAACATGAAAACGCTGATGTTTTAGCATCGATTCTTCATTAATGCTTATCTCCATATTGCATGTCAGGCAAGGAACAGTGGGGATGTTGGCCACAGAATACTTATTTACCTTTTATAAGCAAATACAATTTATTAATAAAAAAAACTAGGCAGCATAGATCTCAATTTACAATCACACAAATAACAGGGGAAGGTGTGAATGGGTGCAGTAAATTAATATATAGTGTACTAACCTCATCTTTAACATCAGGTAAATCAATGGATTTTTGAAGAGGGCGGATGTATGCTACTGCCTGTCTAAGTGTAGACTCATCACGTAAATAAGGAATTGAATACCCATTCTGTCCAGGAGGAATGACTTGAAGCCGCTGATTTCCAGTCGTTCTACAAATATGATACCCCCCAGCTTCTTTTAACAATGGGTATTGACTTTCAAGAACTTGAGTGAGAAACTGATGACTCCCTTTCTTGTTTTCAAAAGTTATTTTTTTCTCTCCAAGCCCGCTAGCTTTCAACTTTTCTTTTTCATAAACAGTCGGAGCAACAGCTGCGTTTTTGTCAGCTAGAAGACAAAAGCGGTGGGTCCACGTGGTAGACGGGGAGAACATTGGGGTCCACGTGCGCTGACGTTTTGCTTTTTGAACAGTTTGACATGGATTTTGCCTTACAGAAGAGTACGGTGCGAAAAGTTTTTGCAATTCTGCGGTGGTAGAAGTTTTCTTTGCCTTATCTTCTCCACATTCTGAGTCCTCTAACAGTTTCGCTGCTTCTCTCATTAGCCTAGCGGCCTCTTGTCGCTTATTACTTTCGTCCGCCATTGTTAAATATTTACGAAGTCATTACAATGGTTATTACACAAAGCTCATTGCGAAATAATTGTAACCGCTGTACATAACTATCGCATGTTACATTACTGTTACGCATATCCGCTGTACATAATCACCGTGTGTTCATATGGCTCATGTTCGCATTGCCGAATGTCATGTTCGCATTGCCGAATGTCATGTTTGCATTGCCGAATGTCATGTTCGCATTCCCGAATGCCATGTTTTAATTTTGGCAGTGATCACCTTTCATATTGTTTCTCAAACCCAATCCCCCATAACTATGTTGTACATGCAACAATGAGTAACTCATCATTCTATAAGAAGCGCCTGTCCATAGCTGAAGATATGTGTAATATGAGAAAAGTTTCCAATTACTCATCACATGTTCAAAAACAAACCTATTTGTTTATACGATGAGCTCATTTAATGTCTTAATCGGAAATATAAGGCACATTTTGTGCAATGGTCCATGTTGACTGTTGTCATCGAGTGCTGGATGCATTTATTTATGTTTTCTAATTTTCTGCAGTTCTTACATTTATTTATTCAATTTTCTCGTTACGTTACTATTGTGCGCATGTAGGCCGTTGGCTATTATCTGGGACTAACCATCTGTGTGTCGACTTGCGAACCAACTATGCTTAATGAGTGCTGCCCCACTGAAATGACCAACTCAAGAATACATGACCAAATGAATTAAAGTAATAACTAAAAATACTTCAGTCAAGTTAAAAGATTCCCGGCAGAAATTTTATAAATCGTATCATTACTTATGGTGATGGAATGATGTTGTTAATAAAACCTCAAATGATGTGAAGTTGTTTCTAGGTTGTCGCCTTATTTAATTCTTTCGCGTTTTTTATGGTTTCTTAATTAGCCATACTGTTTAAAGACAGGCTCTTGGCGAATGAAAGATACGTTTGTACGCTACGCAACTTTCTTAGCACTATGATTACGTGCCTTGAATTGTATACTAAAGCATTACAACACAATTAAATTTGTATGACTTACCGTAAATTTGTGCGAACTACGACTTCGTCACCAGTTTTGCTTCCGTTCGATTAAAACATTCAAAATCAGTCGAACAATGTTTTGCAACATTGATAAATAATTTTTGATGAAATTTTAAAATGTTAACTATTTCAAAATATCTTTGCGGGAGTTGAGTTTTATAAAGAGATTTTTGTCCTCTTCAAAGCAAAGGGGGAGAAGGAATTGATTGGAGGAATATTTTAAATGCTTAACTAATTTTTCATTCACGTATCCAACAAGCTGATAAGGTTAAATCAAAGAAGGGAAAAGTACGTAGTCGTACATTACTTTTGATAAATGTAAAGTAAGCTCATAAGAGAAATTAGTCCACAGATGAAAAATATATAATGATAAATGTATTTTGACTAGAATTTTCTCTCTCTTTAATGGCTGCTCTACTTGATAAAGAAAACTAATAATTTACGCAATCCATCATCAAGACGTCACAGGGATTTATTATTAAATCTTGACTCGCGTCGATGATCACAATTAAAATCATTTCTGGCGTCACTAATGAAATACATTGCGATCGTCAAGTACATCACTAAGGAGCATGCAATGGAAAATTTACCACCAATTTAAAAATGAGATAAAGTACTTCAGGAATGGTAAATTGCATACGTTTTGATTGACACAAAATCAGTATGGGTATAAAAGAATTACGTAATATTTCACCTGCGTGTCTTTTAATGTGTCAGCATTTGGTTGAAAACGTTGATTTCGCTGCATCTCATTCAATAGTCTGCCATAAAAAAACTTAGCACTGTTTCTTACCCAGTAATTTCATCATCCAGTATTTTGCATTAACAACCATAATGTTAAATCAGCCAAAATATTTTCGAAAAAAATTTGAAATAATTATACTATTTAAGTTTCATTTCGTGACAATTAACACTTTAGCAGCCACGCAATGTCTGCCAAAATTTGCGCGTGTCCATTATCTCTGAGCAATGAAGTTAGTATCTATTTAGACTATGCAATTATTCAAACTATTCATACTCGGCTACACACCCCACACTGGATATAATGATAAATTGTGTAAAGGAAAGTCGAGAATATCATTTTTAGTGCTAAGGTATTACGAATCTAAAACATTGTTGACTAAATTGTGTTTATAGACTTGGGACTATATAACATAGGCTGACACTGTTGTATTTGTAGAAACCATTACAACTTTCACACTAAATGTCTCCATAGGAACTAGGAAATATACTTCAGTAGTTTCTGTAGTTTTTTTGTATTCTGTAACTACGAATGTATCTATACTCATTAAAAGCTTGGAAGCAATTAAGCAACGTATAAATTTATTGACATTGTTGTTATTTGACATGTGTGCATGCTGTTATTATAATTTCATATAAGATATTATGAGTTCTAGTGCCCACAATAAACATTGATCATAATATATATATTGATGTTGCGTGACATGTATGAAAGTTGACAGTGCTAGTGGTAAAATTTTGTCTAAAAATTTTGTCATCTTGATATTTTTGCGACCTCGAAATGCCATGCAATATTGCTTTGAAGCAATGAAGTTAGAGTATGTGCGATAATAACGTATTTTTACGAGCGACTCAATGAACTCTTTGTTTTTGTTTGTTTGAATTGAGTAATAGCATTAGATACTGGAGAACAACTCCGCCAAATCAACTTCTTTTCAACTGCTCAAATGTCTTAAAATAACTTCCTTCGCTAAAACTCCTTTCAAATGCTGATCCAGAGCTGTCTTTGTTTTTTTGTTCACTTTTTTTTCTTACTTTAACGCTGTAGACACGAACGTTATGGTTGGTATCAGGCTTTCTTGTTGCTGATAAATGAACTATGCGCTCTTTTGTGACCAAAGCCACTCCTCCGTTATCATGATGAACAACACGAAATGAACCACTAAAGATTCCCAAATCATATCCTACTTTCATGAAAACGAGCGACGACTGTAGTTTTTTGGTTTCAGTTGAAAAAGTCTCAATTAATAACTTTGAAGCATCCTTGTTAAAGAAATAACCTGTGATACACTTGGAGAGTGGTGTGTAAATAACTTCATCATATTCTTTAATCTCATCAAGGGATGGTTTGAGTTTCATGCAATCCGATAAATTTGCTTCCATGTTGTAGAAAAGGATTCTGTAATATTCACGGGGATGTCGATAGGTTATCATGGCTATTTGCCTATCAGCAGAAAAACACAAAGATTTCAAATCATCGACAAGTGGATTATGAATGCCTATAATCTTACTATGTTTGAAAAGGAGACAACCAGTTTTGTAGCATACACATAGATGAATGTTAGGTTGGTCTCCCTCAACAAATGCAATAGCAACTACTTCATCATTTGTGACGGCCATAAACAAGTTTCGTGCCTCTATATTGTCAAGAAACTTTAAAGTAGATTTTTGGATAGCGCCATCTTCTGAAAAAACTGTCAATTGATAGTTCCAAGTGTTCTTATTTCCATAACCAGAAAGAACATATACCACGCCATTGTTATCAACTGTCATACATCTAACCTGCCAATCATCAATCTCACAACTTTCTTTACACCACGGTTGAAGCTTTCCTGTTTTGCTGTCGACTTTTTGCAGATTTTTTCCAGAAAAAATCAGCATTTCTCCTTTGTTGGTTATTGTGATTTCTTTGTCGACAAATAGGTGAGCTTCATCTTTACAAAAATGAGATTCGTACCAAGGTGTGGAAGAACTCGTGATTCCTTCAACATCTTTAAAATACAAAGGATGAAACTTGTGCACACCCGATTCAATCAATGGCCAGTCAAGAACAGCTCGTTTTTAAATGTGTTGTTTGAAATGAAATTGGCTAGTAATAAATTCATTATCAATACATTTTCAATGTTTTTGTCCCTCTGGTCTTTGTGAAAGGTTAATTGTGGAAAAGAAAAAAGTTTCTCTACCTCGTGCAACGAATTGAGGTATTTCAAATATACCATAGCATCCTTTTCTGCTGCCTCACTATCATTAAAATGTCGAAGAATAGAACTTGCGATGCAAATCCTGCATGCAGTTATTCTTTCTTCAATTTTTAATGATGCATTATGAAGTGCTAAGCTAGCTTCTCTGTCTGCCTCTGTAAAAGACTCTTGAGCCAACTGTTTTCGCTCTTCTTTAACTCGAATTCTTCGTTTTCAGTTGACTCGGCAAGTTTCAGTCTTTCAATACCTATATTGAAATGACTAATACTACTGTCGAGATCTTGTCTGCATATTGCCTTTAATATTGTTAATTCGCCTTCAACAACACCTAGGAGTTCCAGCAGTGTTTTCCCACCTTTTTGTAAACCTCCTATCACGCTCAAACTTATTGTTATTGGATCCATCGCAAGCTTCAGCAATCTAAAATTGGTTTCGTACAATACAGGTATTACATTAGCAAAGCAAGTTTGTATTTGGCTCGTGCTATGCTGACTTCACAGCAAAATAATCATTTATGGGCTGTTTACATGATCCCGGCTAACGGAATTTCAGTGAGGTGTGAAATGGTTTCGAGGTATTGAAAGGAGTCAAAACTTAAAGCGTAAAAATTACAACTGTTTGTTAAGCGGTACAAGTCAATTAACGCTTGACTGAATCCCGGTTACCCGGGCTCATTTAATCAGCCCCTAAATTTGTTTAGAAAATGATATTTTATGCATTGTTTTTCCAGCGACTATATAATTGCATGACTAAATTACAACTGAATTTTGCATACTGAATTAACGTGGTTTAAAACGTTGTATTCCAAATTTTTTTCTTCGTTGGACAAATAGTTCTTGTGCTACACACAATTAAAATCTTTAAAAACTCGCTATTTGCGTCGCTCGGTTTCCCGGCTATAGACTGGAACTGCGCGTTTAATTGAGAAAAGCGTGACGTCATGTAAGTAACATTTCAGCAAGCGTGCATTAAAAATAAAGTGAAAATCTACTTTGATATGCCTGACCGCTGTAGTTGCTGGCTGTTCTAGCGTTCCTTGCCCGGAAAAGGGCATAGGACTTCACCGCATTTTTTTATGGATGAGAAGAGCCTATAAAAAAGAAGAGAAAGTGGCTACATTTTGTCGCTTTAAAACGAGCGAAATGCCTTATATCAAAGATGTGGAGCAGCATATGCTCGCTGCACTTCAAACCTGAAGATTTTACCAGACGGTATAATAGTTTGCAAGGGCAAACAAG